TGTGTGTGTGTGTGTGTATTTGTGACGTTTTTTTACAGACAAAATGTCTTCTCGGATAAGTCGGAGTTGCAGGGCGGTGCACCGAGGGAGTCTTCGAAGCAACCAACGCTCGCGAATGCCAATTTTTCCTTTTGTAGAGGAATCCATTTGGAGGAGGATCATTTCCGGTTGTGTAGAGAATGTGTGATGCAGAGATGCTTTGCTCGGCCAGACCAGAAGCGGATTGACAAGGTATGATGGTCTTTGGTATGCACCTCGTTTGTTGTGCTTACTTGCATTTCGAGTGAAGAGATTCGAAGCTCGGTTGCACCAGAAGACGACGGCGCGTTTTGTCTTGACCAGCTCTACTGGAACATTCATGCTGACGCTGTTTCCGAGGTGTAGTCGTCTTCGATTCCGGTGAAAAGATGTCAACCTCTCGGTCGTCACACGACGAACATCATCAGGGCAAGATGTCCTCGTGACAACCAAATTGAATCAACTTCTCTTGACTCGTTAGATTGGCACCTTTTCACCGGAGTCGAATGAGATTGAATCGTTTTCCGGTGGAATCGAGCTTCGAATCTCTTCACCCCCAACACTTTCACTCGAAATGGAAGTAAGCACAACAAGTACAAGTTGCAGCTTGTCGTCAAGGCTGACAAGCTGGCGAAATGTACCAAGTCCAAGGTCCAGTGCTCGTAATCGTCATGACTACTCGGGCAGAGGTCTCGGCACGGGTTGTGCCCATCCTCATCAACATCGGCCTGACGACAAGTTGCGAAAACGCGGCAAAACCACTTCTCGCCAACATGTACATAGTTTTGCTTTAGACACACGGCCTCACGTTTTTTGACAACCAGTGCACACTCGATTCTGTTTGGTCTACGTAATCGCCTTGTTGATCCAGTCAGGCGGGCTCCAACTTGCTGATGCTTCTCTGATCCTGTCTCAGACTCTCAGTCGATACCTGATCATCTTACTATACCGACAACATACACACACACACACACACATGCACAATGGGGCTCCCCATGTCACCTTGGTGATGTATATTTTTGCACCAGAACGGACTGCTTCGACACACACACACACACATGAGGCAGTTTGTTGATCACGTGGGCAAAAGGAGGTCGCGGTTTTCGTGACTCGAGTTGGATTGCTGCGGTACCGGCGAAGACGTGTCTGTGGCCGGTGCTCTCAACGGGTGGGTAGCTTGCTTCTGGTTGCATGTAACTTCACATTTCTCGGTGTTATTTTGCTTCACAATTCGTCTGAATAACTAATCGGACTTTGGCTTTTTGCAGAAACATTATAGCCCCAACTCCCATAAGCATGGCTTAACATGTGTGCAGTCAACCAGGCAGAGTAATTACATGCATTGGCCGGACTACCGTTGTCTGGCCTTCTCGTTACGGGCAGGCAGTCCGACGTGGCGCAAACATGTCGAGAATGGAGGCTGGCCTGCCTCAACTGAGACTTGATTGCTGCAAAATTCAACTTTCCGTCATGCATCACTCTACTCACTACCATTCACGAGTAGTGCGAAAAGGGTTTTTTCACCGACCTGCAGTCCAGGCCGAATCTGTCCGTCTCCAGACCAGTGGACTCGCCAGTGGGTGTGCAAAATTGGGTTGAAGAGATGGCCAACTCGGTCCTGTCAGCAAGCGTGGAAAGAGGAAAATGCTTTGAGCTCCCTTTCGGAACATGGTCCTGTTGCCAACGCGACACAATTGAGAGCCGCATCCAAGATGTGAGTTGTCATCCGCTTGCGCGATGTGTCCTGCCTCTGTTTGTGTGCTTGTGTGCTGTGATTGAGGTGATGAATAGGGTGGAAGTGTGAAAACCGTTTGGTGAAACTCATCGGTTGCCTGAGACGCATTCATTTGATTTTGTAAACATTCCAGCATCAGTCCTCAAATCACTTTAAGACGATCTCGACCAATCGTGAAAATATCTCTGGAATGAGGTCCTCGGTTTCGTCACGACCAGAAGTCAGTGTGTCTATGCTTCATGTCCTGCTGTTTGGCACCATAACGACAGCCATGGTGCACCTAAATGGGTTGTATT